GTTGGATCAACCGGAGATTTACCACGTGTAATTCCTGAAAAGGACAGCAAATCCATGCAATGTTGATCGATGATGTCGGCGATCTTTTGTTGGGGGTTTTTGCCTTTGTATTTTTCGAGCAAACAGTACGCGAAAAATTTTTCAAGTGGGCGACGGTCAGTAAAAGCAAGAATATCGTCCTCTGTGGCGACGTTATTTTCAGAAGGGTCAGAACTGTCGTCGATATTCATAGTGTTGGAGGCGGTTGTATTGTTAGTCAGAGTGACTTCCTTTTCTTTGCCTTTGTTGTTTACCAAAGGAGTTTCGACAGGACTGTTGTCAACTTCCATATCGTTTACTGGAGTAGTGTTGACTGTTTGGACTACTGAGGACGTTGCTGGTTCAATAGTTTGTGTGGTATTTTGTTTTTTCTTTGGTTGTTGAATAGTTTTTGGCGACGCTGAGCGACCGCGGTTGTTTTTATTGTTTCTGCTATTTTTTGGCATTTTGGTGAAGTAGCAGAAAGAGTTTTTTTTTTTTTTGTAAGTGTTTATTTGAAATATTTAACAATAACAACAAATAAAATAATTTTTCTATAAATAGTTCTGAGAGACTTGAAGCACCGACAAGAATTGAAAACAAAAGCCTCGATTATGAAAGAACTTATTCAATAGATACAACAATATTTATTATAAATCGATTGTTTCGTATGCACCAAGACATGGTTGAACTTGTATGGTAAGTACCAATTTGTAAAATTCAAAGTGATAAAACTAATTTGTTATTAATTTTTCTTTTTGTTTTATTTAGGATTGAGTTAACAACCCCTCATACAAAACATCACAAAATTGATGGACTTATTAAAGTGATCAAGACAAAAAAAAATCAAGCCATAATTCTATTCGAGTTTTCATATGGCAGACAAGCACCTTTATCAAAGGAAGACGGTGATGAAGTTAAGTTATGCAGGAATTCTATGCGAATTCTAAATAACCTATTACAGAATGTACCTAAAGACAAAGCACGCATTTATTTGGTACAATCTGCCAGTAAGTATTTGATTAGATGTTAAGTGGTAAAAAGTTTAGTGACTCATAATGTTTCATATTTTATAGATGGTTTAATTAAAATAAAATATTTGATTCGTCCTCTACCGTCGATTTATATTCTTCAATCATTCACAAATATTAAAATACCAGTATCATTCGACGATTTCGAGCAATTTGCAAAAAACGTGGTTGATTTAATGAACTTTCAGGTACGGATTAGAAATGTTCACATACGATTTTATCAAATACTAATAATAACTGACTTTGTTATTACAGGTTGACGTGTTGTCAACAATTAAAGTGATAAATAAAGTCGTGACTAGACCTAATCATATCCATACAACTTCGGTGGAGAATACACCAGAAAAGAAAAAGAATGTGGAAAATAAACCTTCATCTCCTAAGTCGCCATCTGGTGGTGGTTCATCTTTACCATTGATTTTAAACTATGTATTGTCAAGCGATTAGTGTTACAGTCAATTTCGTATCATTACTGTAATATGTGTTTGTTAGTTCGTGTTGTCTTTTTTAGCTTAGGTGCAGATAGTGTTTGGTGCATCGAAAAAATAAAATCTGATCATTATAAATCGGTTTTACATCGTCAGAAATTACTACTAACCAACTGCCAGCTTTATATCGTTTGGTATTATTGTCATTTGCAAAATTGTTGATTTTTTTGCAGATCTGTGACTCAAAAAAATAAACAATACAAAACTTCATTTTTTAAATGGGGGGTTTTTTTGTGAACTTTTTTACGTTAATATTATACATGGGATGGTAATTGTTTTGCCAAAAACGTAATACGTAATTACGAAATTAATTACGGGTGACAAAATGATTCATTGTAGACGAGATTACAAAATTAATTATGGGTGACGAAATTATTTGTATATGAATCTCATTGTGAATAAAATATTAATATATAATAAAATATATTAATATACTTTTTACACTTTATAAAATATTAAATAAAAATTGCTAATATAAAAATTTTCAATTTTAATCTCTATCTCCATTATCAAATTTCCATTATCTGCATCAATAACTAGGGGTTGGAACCGTATTCGATATTCGAATTTAAATCCAGTTTCCCCCATTTGAATTTAAATCCGGATCCAAATTTTTCTAATGCGAAAACCGAATATATTTAAAACTGGTTATTTTGATCAACCCGAATATATTTAGAATATTAAATAAAATTATTTGAAGTAATTCATATAAAAAAATATATTTCTATAAATAGTGTGGTATTTTAAATTAGGATTATAGAGTCTACAAATCAATTGTGTAAAAAAATATATATAGGGATAAGTGTATATGAAAAGTAATAATCAATATAATGGTTCTAATGAATATCAAAAAGCAATTGATTTTTTAGAAAAAGGATGTAATTGTGGTTGCTCTTCAAGAATTCCCAAAGAATAATTTGCAGAATTAAGAGAATCCTTTCAAGCTCTCTCTAAATCAGAACAAGATATATTTTTAATGGTCCAACTTAAAGCAATGAATGGTGGATCAATAAGCACTAGCAGACGCCTTAAGAAGAAAACTAGATCTAATAAAAGAACTTTCTACCATTGGGATCACAATACATTACTTTGTTAAGAAACTTATTTCAATATGTTAGGAATTGGTAGGACTTATTTTAAAAACATTAGAAATCATCTGATAAACCATGGTCTTTTAACAAGAGTCCATGGTAATATTAAAAGGATGCCTCAATGGAAAACTAAAATGGTGATTAACAAAAATGTTGCAGAAGTAATAAAGAATTTTCTGGAAAATTATGCTGAAGTTCATGGCTTACCAAGCCCAGGAAGAAGCATCAATAGAATAACCCAATCAGTTATATTTTTACCAGCTGAAATGAGTTATAAATCAGTTCATAGAGGCTTTCTGGCTGGTCTAGAAGAAGATAGTAATTTGAAATTTTTGAAATATGATGCTTTTAGGAAGTTATGACATCAATTGACACCAGAGATTCAAATTATGAGTCCAAGGACTGACTTGTGTGATACTTGTCAACATTTTCAAAATGGTTTACATTATAATGCTCACCAAGAGGAAGAAGCTAAAGAATTACTCAAAAAATTTAAAGAACATCTGTATAGGGCCAAATTAGAAAGAAGTTATTATAATAAAAACACAAAATTAGCAGAAGAACAAAGAAAATTAGTTAATCAACATTATTCAAAGAGTAAAATACAGTATTGCAGTATTGATGCTACTGCTCATTATAGTTATGATTAAGCTCAAAATGTTCATGTACCACATTTAGATCAACAAGTAAGTAAAATTTATTATCTTAAAGTTCATTTATTTGGTATTCAAGATGAAGCAGTAAGGGAGCAAATTAATTATATTCTTAATGAAGATGAAATTATAGGAAAAGGACCCAATGGCATCCTTAATATGATCTTTGATGGAATCAAGAAATTGAATAGAGGTGAAAAGCATTTAAAGATTACTTGTGATAATGCAGGTGGACAGAATAAAAACAATGTAACAGTTTGG